AATAACAAAGGAAACGAAACTATTACAAAGGATAATTCGGTGTCACCATCTATCTAGTTTGTGGTGTAGACCGTGGATTAAGAAATCATCTACCAACTACCATTAAAGAAAGTCATCCCAAGGCAACTGATCCAGTCATCAACAGGTCACGGACTTCCAGCTGTCGTCCAGGAACGGACCGACACGCTCAGCTGCGGAGCAGTCTCACTGCTGGCTGAGGCTCCATCAGGACGGTGCGTGTGCATGATTGAACCAGTCCTTGCCCGGCAACCAACATCCCTGTCGTCGCCATCGCTGCTACCGTCTCCGCTCCTGTGAAGCCCAGAGAGAGAGAGCGCGCGCCGAGAGCCGGCCTGCGCTCCGCAGAGTCGGAGGCGGCAGGTGACCGCCGCCGGCAGCCGGGCAGAGGCGGCGGATCGATCCAGAGGCGGCGTGCCCGGGCTCCCTCTCTCCTCCCCACACCCTCTGCCTCCGCTCTCTCCCCCGCTCTCTCCACCGCTCTCTCCGCACAACACGTTTCGGAGCTGACGCGGTGAAGGAAAGGGAAATGTTAAAAGCGACGGTGGTGCTTGACACGTCTGTGAAGGTAGGTGTCTTCGTGGGGGCGAAGAGTGCCAATGCGTGCGTGCGTGGTTTGCAGGTTAAATTTGTTCATTTCATGATGGTAGCGCACTGATGATGCCCCCTTGACGATTCTTTTTCTGCAGTTATTTATTTCTCATATCAATAACGCCTCCCTAAATAAAGAAACAAGAGAACGATAGATATTGCACAGCTTCCCTATCTCCACTGTTAGATCTGCCAACTGTTTGTCGGGTCAACTGTTTGTCACCTTCGGATAGCCTAATGTTGAATGTAAGAGTGCAATGTCAAGACTAAGGAAACAGGATCATGCACCAAGCACGAGTGTTCTATCCCGACTCATTCAAAATTCGAGGAGGCACACGCACATACACACAGAGTCAGGGGGAGACCTAAGAGATCGATGTCGCCATCAGAAGACCCCGGGAAGATATCGGTCGGTCGGACGGGGGCCACGGGCCGTCGGCACGGGCAGGGGGATCGATCACGGCATCAGGTCGATGTGTCTCTGCTGACTCACGCGCTCCTCCCACTGACACGGTGACACGGTCAGTGACACGGCTGACACAGGGTCACCAGGGGACAGCGACACGACCCAGACACAGGTCACAGCGGGAGCCAGGGGACAGCGACAAGCATCAGGAGTCTCGTGATGGCTCAGTGACTAGTGAGGTAGGTACTTCCTCTAAGGAGAACGCCTGTTGGCAGTTGGCACGTTTTCATGTTGTGCCTCCGATACTTATGAGTTGCAAATCTCTCATCCAATGATGCAATGGCAAGTTGAGTTTCTCAGAGAGCACGCTGTTAATTAAGTAGTACGGTCACATCCCTACACTAAAAGGGGCCAGCGGACCCCACCACCACGTCGAGTGCCAGCGACGATTTGCAGCAGTGCCATGCTCGGGTGGGGCCGTTTCCGCAGATACCGTTACACCAGACGCTGATGGACAGCAGCTCAGACAGAGGGGATGACTTCTTCTTCCTCTCCCTCCTTCCCTCCCTCCCTGCTCCCTCCTATCGCGGCGCCCGGAGCAGTCATTACCGAAGTATCTCAGCTGGAAGGAGAGACCATCCGCTCCTGCCCGGGGCGTCACACAGGACCAAAGGAGCAGGAGGTGCTCAGATCAGTAGCTTCCTGAGACCCGGAGGAGCAGAGGAGCCGCCGGAGCATGGATAGCTTTGTAAATGCCAAATGATTCTTACAGTCAAAAGCGATTTACATATAGACGGTTTAAAGTAGTTGAGATAGACATGGTGCAGTGTAACAGGGGTGCTGTTCTTCATGGGATGTCAAATTTTGAACGACAACCTATTTTGAAATACAATGCACTGAAAGTTTTAAGCCCTGGTACTCTTGTACGAATGATGAAGTCATGTCTGAGAATGACCAGTTTCAACCAGTTAGTACCACTTACGTGTTTGCACCACCACTACCATTGCACTGGAGTTCATTTATGAACATGGTGACTTACAAGACCTAAGCCACGACACACTCTTCAGTCCACATATAGGCTTTAACCGAAATACCCAGCATCAGCCCTTGCAGTCGCCCAATCCGTTAACATCCGCAAACAGCGGCGGCAGTGCAGCTCAATTTAGCTAATGACTGCGAGTGTTTCAGTGAGCTTTGACCAGCGATAAAGTCGGCTCGGGTTCCAATTCACAGCCAACTAGCAGCTAGTCGGTCGATCGGGCGGGCTGTTTACAGAGCCTAATCCCTCTAGAGAAACGAGCCGAGCGACACTTGTACAGAGCGCCCCATTGAAACTGCAGTTACACAACTGCAGCCGTAACTATAAAACACTTCTAAGCTCAGCCCAAGAGCTCACTAAACAGCAAACATATTATTATAGGAAATAAAGTTCACAATTATCATATATGATATAGGACCGAAATATTCCAAGGTCCAAGACATTTAATCACAATAAATAACCAGAACAAAGTGCAGTCCGATAAATGTAATGGACTACCAAATTAATGAAATTATTGTTCATAAATAAAACACGGCTGTCACACAGAACCGTATCAGTGGAAATATTTGGCTTCATTCGCGGTGATAAATGGCCGTACGGCCTGGATGGATTGGTGGTGCGCCTGCCCAGCCATGGGAGTAACACCACCAGACGTGGGATGACGAATATTCGCATCGAAATGGCACGATATTAGGATGGATTAAGTATTTTCCGCCAGTGATCCCTCATATGGGTGCGACGGATATCGTTTCTCAGATGTGCTCAGATGCAGCTGCAGAGAGCTTGAACACATTCGAATGGTTTGTTTCGCCGGATGCCCAGAAAAAAATGTGCATTTTTGGTCGAATTCATAAAACTGAATTTTAAGCAATAGCTAATGGAAGCAGAATATTCATTCAAGCTGCAAGGAGCTATTTGCAATAAAGTCTGGATGTTTCAGGATTGCCATTTTCTGATAAAGTTGTCCCTAACCTTATTTGGAGACTAAATTTTCCACAACTTTGACAGCTTTCCGACGTAATAGTTCTTTTTCGCAATGTCGTCTGCAATGCAACAGCAACTTGCAAGCGATACGTGCGGTGCCAAGCTTCAAATCCAGGAACTGTCGCTTGTCAGCAAGCTGCAGAAGTAACGATAACTATTTCAGCGGCCATGGCATTCAGCGAGCGTTAATCACTCCCAAGACGAGTTTCCAGATGTTCTTTCGCTGTTGCTCGCTCGTAACTGGGTGCCGTAAAATTTGAGCACCATTCCGACGGAGACACACGAGGCGACTTTTGCGGAAGACACCACGGCGCTGACGTGAGCCCTCGCCTGACACGGGCGCAGTTCGAACTGCCGGTCTCGACGGGCCCCATCGTTATCGACTGTTCGAACAAAGTTTTCCGACGGACCGAGACGGGCCGGGCAGTTTGGGTCGGACGCCGGGACCGGGACGGAAACTAGTCCAGCGCGGCGATTGGTTACATGCCTGCTCGGTCCGGGACGACCGGCCTGAATCTGCACAAACTGCGATCGAGGCATGCAGTCTCGTCTGCACGATTGAGACAATTGAATTTCCGCAACAGGAGCGGCAGGGAGCGTTTGAGCCAGACGAGCCAGCGGGGCGAATCCATTCGTTCCGGACCACCGCCATCAGACATCTAACGAGGCAGCGCGACCCGCCGGCGCTACAAGGGGAAGCCGTACACAGACACGGCGCCGGAGCGGTGATACTGTCCTCGAGGCAGTGCACTGCCGCCGCCTCATGCCGCGGCCTGCTAGCTGTCGCGGTCGTGTCTATCAATAGTTTGGACGTCCAATAGTTTGGACGTCTTGCAACATCATGAGAACAATGCTGTCCCATGTCCCGAATTCATGTTTCCAAGACATCCGAGAAAACGATTTTCTCTTGATTTAAAGTTTTGATATCGCGCACAAGTCTCTGGTGGTCAAACTCGCGCCATTTGTCATACGGCCGTATCCGAGCGAGGACGGGCCGTGCGGTGCAGCATACCTCACAGGCGTCCATACTACTACTGCCATCTATCGACCATACATGAATCACGGACACTGCCTGGTAGCTGCGGCTGGTCTAAGAATCCCAAATCCCAAATCACAGCGATCTATCAAATTCAACGCCACTGACCCCGACGAGAACGCAAACTTTGCTGTGTTCCAATCACAAGGGACTGAGCCGAATCTGACCTTATCACGCTTGTAACGGCTACCTGAAACAATTTCTAGAAGTAACCTAAATTTAGCTTCAAGAAGGTGAGCAGAACCGGAGCTTCGAAGGAAGCTCATGGTGTGTAAAACTTTTATGTTTGTAATGGTCCCCAAAGTGATGCTGTTTACCGGCTTTTATACGATAATTTTATAAATACATAGCACTGGAGACAGTTGGCCCCAGGTACTTAATTCTTCTTACATACACCTTCGACTAATAAAACCTCACATGTCAATTGCCAACCCGGAGAGCCGTGTACAAAAATAGAGTGGGTAAGTATTTAAAGATAAAATACATTTCCGGATTACGCGTAAGCAGAACAGTGATTATTTCTATCGATGCACTGCGTGAAAATGGGGCAAGAGTTAACCCTTTATCAGCGTACGAGTGTTAAAGTAGTCATGGTTACGGTTCTGTGACGATATTTTGGTCGGTACTACAATGAAAATATAATGATATTTACTGTTCTTTGTATACTCTATCCAGTACACTATCGTTCGACAGTGTTCATCACAGAAATCGGCCATAGTGATGCTGACTTGCAGCTAGCAGTCACATCACACCACTAACATGTTACCTAGAGATGTCCAGTCTCACTGCCAACGAAACTCCATCAATGCAGCCTCCAAATGATCTCTAGACAGCCAGCGCCAGCCGTTCGGCGGGCTGCGCGCTCCGTCCTCTCTGCCGGAGCTGCCGGGGGGAGACCGCTCGACCCTCGGTCGTGGCCCACTCACCATTCTGATGAGCGGGGTGAGTGCGATCCAGCCGAGCAGACGGCCCAGACCGCTGACAGCGGCCAGCAGAGCCAGCAGAGTCACCAGCACAGGCGCCAGCAGCACTAGCAGGACGGGCCCGGCCGAGCGGCGCGCCGCCGGCGCATGGTGTGCAGTGTCGCGCCACTCTGAGCACCGGCGCGCCGCCACCGCCGCCGCCGGCCGCGCCGAGCTGCGCGCGCCGCCGGCCGATCGACAGCCGCCGCCACCGCCGCCGAAATAGCTGCCCCAGCTGCGAATAGGCGGCAGCGACACTGGCCGGCCGGCCGGAAATAGAGGACAGCGGGCGCGCCGATCGGAACTGGTGCGCTGCCGGCGCCGGACAGACCCGCGCCCGGGGTCAGGCCGGCGCCCCGGCCCGGGGACGCGTCTGGAGCCGCCCCGGGCGGCGGCGGCGGCTGAGCCCCGGCCAGGCCGGCTGCAGCTCGCTACCGCCGCGCCCCTGGGTTCGAGACGAGGGCCGACGGTCTGGACGACCAGACGGTCTGCAGAGTCTGACGGCGCCGCCGCTGCGGCTCACTCAGCAACACGGCGGTCTCTGTCTGCCGCCTGCGCTCCATACCGCCAACCGGGCTCGAGACAGCGTCAACCAATGAATAATTATCAGATTTCAGGGCAGGGCAAGAAACAGTATAAACCTAAGCAGCTTACTGCTAGATTCTACTCTCCGAGAGTCGGTAAACCCTCTCTCGCGCCGTGATAGCGAAAGTCCCAGCTAGGCCACAGCGAGGAAGGAAGTCCGCCCAGCTGTCACGTTCCCAGCGGTTGCCACAGGCTATTTGTCAGAACGCAAGGAGCCCCGGATTGTCGGTGGCGCATCGTGGATATCGTTCCTTTTGCCTCCCCTCTCCCGGGTAGTGAAGTGAAAGGGTATAACGCACATCTGGGTATGAGACGAGACGAACGGAAAATCACAATGAAGACGTTGATGAAAATAAATGTACGTTTACAAGCGCTTACAAACAAAGTGAACGTGCATACCACCAGCATCGTTTTGCACAAGGGTTCGAACATCAGTCACAGCATGGGCACAAAAGCTCCCTCCACACAATGATTGTCATAAAGATTGATTGTTTTTTGCCAAGGTGCAGTCGGATAAGGAAACCATTAAACAATCGAAATGTAAACGGGAAGATACCAACACGGTTATTAGGCTGCTCAAGAATGAATCACAAGTTTCTTGTTATTTAAGTGTCAGCCGGACATTCTCCCTTGATACATCCATAACTGGTTAATAACACACTGACTCGCCGTGTAGCATCAAGTTGTGATGACGTCACCCGGGAACCACCAGCCACCCGATGACGTCACACAGCCGGCGAGAGTCGAGCTGGACAGCTAGCAGAGGTAATTTGGAGAAGGATGAATGACGACCGCCGGGGAACGGCCGATAGTATCCGGAATGATTCATATCGAGGAACTAGGTCAACCGAGACCGAGGAACAGACCCGCGCTGATGGTGGATGGATAAACGGTTGCACTCTCGGAGGGGCTGTCTATCACCAGATACAAAATGGCACGAGCCTGGTGAATGTCAATAGAAATGGCGCCTTAGCGACAATCGGTGGCCGACAGAGCGACATCCGTTTGGGAAAACATGGCCATAACCGGCACCCAAATCGATGGAAATATGTTTTACGTTTCGATGAAGACCTATCAAGTATCATGTGATAAAAGAAACACAGTAAATAATTAGCATTAGGTTACACATATCAAAGACCATCAGGCTCCACCTTGATTATGGCAAAAGTGATAAAAACATGCACTCAAGCTTCGTGCTTCGGTGCGTCCATTTCCTTCATCGGCGCTTTCCAGACTTCAACACTCCCTCCTGGCTCATCGGCCCCCATCCGCCCAATCCTCCATCTTCCAGTACCTCACCCCACCCCGGCCCCGACTGACCCCGGTGGCGTCACGGCCAGCGGCCATGCCCGCCATGTCTGGACACCCCATTATCCGTGGAAAACGGCCTGCTCTGCCAGTCCGGATGTCGTTTCTGACGGCCACCGGACCGTACCGCCGAGTCGGTCCGTGTCGTGACGCCAGAAAATGACGCCAACTGATGACCCGGGAGTGGGACGGGACGCTCGGGGTGGACAACATGCGACGATGTAGGTACGGAGTTGTCGGATAGTTTTGCAGTTTAGTAGTTACAAGACAGCGTGACTCGTAGGAACTAATTCGTAAGAAGTCAACATGTTTCTATCGAAAAGACTATCCTGTTTTGGCATATATATTGTCAACAAAATATTTTTTAGCAGCTCCAGCTATCAAATGGTGGATAGGGCATCAGACTGGAGAACTGGACAAATATGTCTATCGGTTACCAAGTTGTGGATGTAAATAAGCTCTGGTTTTGCCCATTTTACAGAAAACAATACCTAATACTTTTTAAACAACGCATAATATCCATAATTATTGACTCGAACCTAACAGCGATGTCCTCAGCTAGCTTAAAGGGACTATCCCACCTTCTAAAATGTTGTTAAAACCAGTTAAATTGTGCCCGAATTTATAGATTGGATGACCAGGAACACGGTTCTGGCATTTATTTTCCATTAAAGGGACTATCCCACCTTTAACATGGGGTTTGAATTGAGATAGCCCAGTTTACGGCGAGGTTCAGAAACCACTATCTATCTACATAGGTTGCAACCCCCGCGGCCTCTTGGTGTTGAAGAAATTCGTTCCCTTCTTTTGAAAATGGGCCTTGTACAAGGCCCTATCTTCAACATGGAGCGACCGTTAGTGTGACGTCACCTCGTTTAGTCATTCTGATTTAAATGGGTTTGTTCGTTGAAAAATCGCTTAAAACTTGGTCTGAACTTTGTTGTGGTGCCTACAGAGTAAAAAGAATCAGCTTTATGACAGTAATGTGGCCTGGGGAAGGAGGTAATTTTGGGCTGTGACGTCACATATTTGAAAGTTTGTGTTTGGAATATGGGAAGCCTAAGATGTTTAATGAAAAATAAATGCCAGAACCGTGTTGCTGGTCATCTAATCTATAAAGTCGGGCACAATTTAACTGGTTTTAACAACATTTTAGAAGGTGGGATAGTCCCTTTAAACATCTTAGGCTTCCCATATTCCAAACACAAACTTTCAAATATGTGACGTCACAGCCCAAAATTACCTCCTTCCCCAGGCCACATTACTGTCATAAAGCTGATTCTTTTTACTCTGTAGGCACCACAACAAAGTTCAGACCAAGTTTTAAGCGATTTTTCAACGAACAAACCCGAATGACTAAACGAGGTGACGTCACACTAACGGTCGCTCCATGTTGAAGATAGGGCCTTGTACAAGGCCCATTTTCAAATGAAGATAACGAATTTCTTCAACACCAAGAGGCCGCGGGGGTTGCAACCTAGATAGATAGTGGTTTCTGAACCTCGCCGCAAACTTGGCTATCTCTACTCAAACCCCATGTTAACCCGGCGGCCGCTGGGCCTCCGCGCCACCCGCCGGCCGCTGGGGGGGGGGGCATAAAGTTGCCCCCCCCCCCTTTACTTCTGCGACGATATCGTCGCAACGCGAAGAGATAGAGAAGCGAAACTTTGCACACATCTTCCTGAATACCTAGCCGAGGTTGTGTTCAAATTTGGTGTCGATCCCATTTGAAATGACGTCACAGTGACGTCATAAGTGAAATTATAGATTTGCGACTCTCATATTCCTCACGATACATCACATATATGGGACCGAATATAAAGGGCCGATTATTGGTCAGAAACGAGATGGAAGTGTAGTAACATGTTTTAGGATGACAGCAGGTGCTGTCTAGTTCATTTACAGTCGAGTTTCATGCTCAGCGTCATCAGAAACGGTCCATATCGGAAAATGACAAAACTTTATGACGTCACTGTGACGTCATCTTAGGTGCTACAACCACTAAACTTTCCTCAAACATTGCCTAGGTATTCATTTGAAGCTATGCCAAGTTTCACGTTCATAGCTCATCAAGTTTCGGAGATATTTCACAAAACGTAAAGGGGGGGGCAACTTTATGCCCCCCCCCCCAGCGGCTCATGGGTTAAAGGGACCCTCCCACCTTAACATTAGATTTGAGTTGAGATAGCCAAAATGGGGTCCCTGGCTCACAATTACCGGTTTCGGCACTCACAACACCGAGAAATGCCTTAAATCGGAAATATTGAATTTCAAAATTGCAGCATTTTGATTCAGAGGGGCTAATGCATAGGAATACCCCTCTGAATGTGTGACGTCAGCGCAGATATCTAACGATTTTTAAATGTTTGACTAAAACGTTTTGTAGCACGCGGTGGTATATGCTGCTTTGCGCGCAACAAATGCCGCACTTTCAAATGAAGTCGCTAGGAACAGCGGAGATCCCAAAAAGTAAACAAAAGTAAAAGTCTAATATCTTGAAAACCGGTGAATATTTTTCGATGAAATTTGGTAGATATTTGTTTTTGCTCTTTTTGAACCGAGCGACATCACTTTCATGCCAATTCATTGACTTTTTTGAAGGTGGGAGGGTCCCTTTAAAGGTGGGATAGTCCCTTTAAAGTTCAATACCACTCTCGCCAGCCTGCCGCGCCAGTCTTGTCTTGTCTCAGAGCGGGGAGCTGTCCGTGTTGTGTCAGCCCTCTAGTCTCTCCCTCCCCTGACACAGCGGCGGTAGGTCGCCCGCGTCTCGCTGACACATGTTCGCAAGTCAGCGGCCTGCCGTCGCCGAGCGACGGTCAGCGAGCGAGGCGTCTGGACGGCTGGCAACAATACACGGCAAAAAGCGAACACAAACAGACCGAGAGTGAGTCTCGTGTGATCACTGCACTGATAATAGTATTGCTGACGGATGGATTTAACGGTTCAAGCGCTGTCTGCTTTCTGTTATTCCAGTAATCTATTATTGCCACTTTTAAGCTGTTGATATTGCAATTTTGTTATTCAAATGTTACGTTTTTTCTCTCATTTGCTTTTCAGCAAGTGTCAGAAGAAGTGCAGGGTGTAGTGCAGGCGATTCTTGCGCGAATGGCTGAAAATACTGATATCTTTTAAAAGATGGTTTTCTTTTTTTACAAGGTCATCTTCTCTATCGAGGTCTGATGCCCAGCGTCATTTCTGATATCCGCGGCGTGGGATTTTGGTCGG